CCCCCACCGCCAACCTGATCACTTCCAACTGCCTTCCCCTCCTGGCTTGATCGCCCCTAACTGCCTCTGTCTCGGCCCCCCTGCCATGGCTTTGTCCGGAAGGACGTCTGGAAGGTCTCCCGGAAAGTCTCCCGATCTAATTAGCATATTACTCTTTTATTAGTATAGACCAGGGGTGGGCAAACTTTTTGACTCGAGGGCCACAATGGGTTCTTAAACTGGACTGGAGGGCCGGAACAAAAGCATGGATGGAGTGTTTGTGTGAACTAATACATGTTAACACTGCTGCTGGTGAAGGAGCGGAGGGGAGAGCAAGAGAACCCTCTGCTCTTTCGGCTCCGCGGGCCAGATAGAACAGCTGAACGGGTCGGATCTGGCCCGTGGGCTGTAGTTTGCCCACGGCTGGTATAAACAGAGGACTGGTGCACAGGTAGGGGCTGGTTGGTCTTCCCTGAAGGGGTCCCGGATTAGGGTGGGGGTCCCCTTGGGGGGCAGGGCCGACATGGGCAAGGGGTCTGGGGTGGTTTGCAGGCCGGCCACGCCCCCATTGGGGTGGGGGTCCCCACTGGAGGGGGGGCGTTGCCAGCCTGGGCTAGGGGCTGAGGGCCGTTTTCAGGCTGGCCACTGGGCTAGGGCTGAGGGCCGTTTTCAGGCTGGCCACACCCTCTTCGGGGTGGGGGATCCCCACTGCATGGCAGGGCCATCCTGGGTGAGGGCAGTTTGCAGGCCGGCCAAGCCCCCGGCTTTGTCCAGAAGATCTCCGGAAGGTCTCCTGGTCTAATTAGCAAATTACTGTTTTATTAGTATAGACAGTAATTTCCAAGTTAAATCTTCGATTCATCAACAAAAACAAACTTCTGAAATGTAAACAAAATTTGAGGAAGGAAAAAAAGTTTAACCTGGTCACTTATTTAGTTCCACCTAAAGAATTCTGATAAAGGAAATGTTTCAGGTCTAGTCTAATATAAAGTAGAAGTGCTAATGGTAGAACTTGAAAAGACATTATATAAATACAACCCCTTACATCTTACAGTAAAACATTCAATATTTTCTGAAGACTCTAAAACCAAATGAATTTTTTGGATAGTCCCACATGTCCAGGACAAAATGCCCACAGAGACCTTTCTGCTACATAGCAGCCAATCAGGTTACTCTGCCAGAAATATGTAAATAAGCCCTGACTGGTTTGGCTCAGTGGACAAAGCATTGGCCTGCAGATTGAAGGGTCCCGGGTTTGATTCCGGCCAAGGGCACATGCCAATCCCCAGTAGGGGGCATGCAGGAGGCAGCCGATCAATGATTCTCTCTCATCATTGATG